TCACACACAAACACACTGTTACATGCTGAGAGCCTACACACGGGCCCCTCACGGGACCCGAGGTTGGAATAGGGCCCCCAGGTCGCGTCACCGCAGCCTGAAGGCTTGATTAATTGATTCGATTTTGCTTTTTTTTTTTACCAACACGTACGCTGCTTGATTGATTGATTGATTGATTCGTGGGGGAGGGGTCGCCCCACACACACACACACACACACACACACGCGCGCGCACCTCTCTCTCTCTCTCTCTCTCTCTCTCTCTCTCTCTCTCTCTCTCTCTCACACACACACACACACACACACACACACAGATACACACAACTGAACTCGCTAAGAGAACTGAACCTGCTTTGTTTTTCCAGAGATGATAGCATGGCAAGCTGCTGCTGCCATACGATATAATCCAAACACTCGTCAATAGTTTGGTGCGCCGCATTTTAAATCATCTCTCCCCGTAGTTTCGGGACTGCCCTACGTTCTTATCGCCCGTCGTTCTCGTGACCAGGCAATTGCTTGACTGTGTTGCTCCTCTCTCCCAGCCACTGCATACAGCCGGCATCCTGAGCACAATGCTGTTCGAAGTAGTCGCTCGAAGTACCGTACAGCCAGTGAGAGTGACTACCGTACAGCCAGTGATGGTCTGGACACCGCCAACGACGATGGTGGACAAGGGCTGGAATTGTGAGCAGGAGATGGGGATGGAGAACGAAGGGAGCGGGACGCGGGGCCGTGCTTTGATTTTTTTTCCCTTCTTTTTCTGATAGAAAAAGCATCATGACAGTCTATCCTATATCTCTTTATAGCTGAAATGGTCAGTAACAAGTACCTGTCAAGAAAGCAAAGGTGTCGGCCATTCCCTGCCCTGCCACGGAAGGGCACACAAGTGCGAAGAGAATGCAAATTTTTTGGACCATTTCTCGATTTATACGTGTCATCCTTACTTGCGCAGGGGCCATTCTACTTATTTTACCCTTCTCTGTATCGTTCCAATTTTAACGGATGTCCCGAAGGACAGAAGGCAAATTTTAGTTGACTGCATGCAAAGTACCAGAAATAAGACAAACTTGTAAATGCGCGCAACGGATAAGTTAGGTAGTTAGTTAAAAACACAAACGTAGTTATATACACAGAACGAAAAAGAAGAAAGCACGCGTATCAGGTGGAGGTACGAAAGGGCACAAAAGCGCAAAGAGAAAAAGGTAGGGAGTTCAAATGATGGGAGAGAAACAAAACAGCAAGAAAGGAGAAAGGACCCTTGAGTGGCAGGTACAAGGGGGAGGGGGGGGTATGAGAGATGCAGCCAGGGGTCAGCAGCAAGCAACGCAACGCCACGCGAGCAACAAACCAGCAGAGGGTGGCGGATATAGGATTATCGAGACATCGGAGAATTGATGGCAGTACAATGTCAGAAAGGTAAGGTTAGGATAACGGACTTGATACGTGAAGCCGGTCCCATTCCGGGCCAGGCGGCGGGCGTATGCGTGGACAGTAAGCCACGGCTGAATTAGTGCTTGATGTCAATAGCGGAGCCCGAGACTTGAGAATCCACGCGGCACTAGGATGAGACAGAAGAAAGGTTGAGCGGAAGAAGAGAAGTGTGCTGTATGTGGTGTGGAGAAAGTGGTGCAGCGAAAAGGAAGTTTTAAACGAGGAAATCTAGATCGCACGAGAAGTGGGGAGGAGGAATGAAGGTCAGCAGGAGATGAAAAACGACGCAAGACTCCCAATACTACCCTAAAGGAACGCGATAACATCGGTAGCCAAACGAAGCAAGCAAGCCTACCAATACCAAAACATAGTTTCATAGTTTCTGATGATGATGTGACCGTACGCACTCGCGCAGGTGTGTGTGTGTGTGTGTGTGTGTGTGTGAGAGAGAGAGAGATCTTCCCTTGGCACAGCCACACCGCTTAGCACACCAAAGCAAGCCTCACAATACCCAGCCACATAACTTGTGATGACGATGTGTCCAATCGTGGATGCGTATGCGCGTGTTACAGAGAGAGAGAGAGAGGGAGAAGAGGTGTGGATGTTCCAAAGGAGGAGGAGAGAAAGGGAGAAGAGGTGTGGATGTTCCAAGGAAGGAGGAGGAGAGAAAGAAGGACAATCAACCAACGACAGGCATGAAGGGAAAAGGCCCCTGAGCATGCAAGCAACGTATCCACACACTGTGTGGGAGAGTGAGCAGAGGCGTGCCTGTGCCAAGGAGGGAAAGAGGGGCAACAAACTAACGACAGGTATGAAGGGGAAAGGCCCATGGGCATGAAATACATCCGCACATTGCTCAACAACAGACATCTCAAGATCGCTTGACGACGCTTGAACGTGCAGATGTGCAGAACGAATATTCGTTCACGACTTCACAAAGTCAGACGTGTGAGAAAAACAGAGACAGCATATGTAACGGTCGGGAAAAACAGGAACTCTGTTACAACTGCCAACCTCTAGAAGTGAACGTTTGTTATCCGCACACTGAGCTCAACGATTTCAAGCTTTGTCAGGAGACTGACCATTTCGCGGGTTTGGAGAGTACTCTTTTTTTTTGGGGGGGGGGGGGGGGTGTTTTTTCCCTTTTTTGGGGGGGGCGCAGTACTTTAAACGGAAAAAAAAATCAATATATAACGGAAACCGTTGGAGTCGGAGAACAATACAAGGATGCTGCGCAACGTTGTTGAAAACGAATTATTGTTGAACGTTAAAAAAAATATTTGCTTGCTTTTGACGAAGTATGCCTGCCGCTGACGATCAAGAGAGAAAGAGAGGCTGAAAGAAACATAAGCCAATAGATGATCGGAGCATTGTCCAAAACAAAACAAAAGGGTGAAAGAAACCGAAGCCATCGACAAAGTTGGATAAACCTGATGAGCAGGGAAAGCTAAACATTTAAGGTGGGGGGAGGGGAGAGGAACAGACAAACATGCATTTAAGGTGGGGGAAGGGGGGGGAGACGAACAGAAAAACATGCATTTAAGGTTGGGGGGGGGAGGGGAGAGGAGCAGAAAAACAAAACTTGGCATGCATTTACGGGAAAAAGAACTTAGCATGCAATGAGGAAAATCATACTGGATCCGGGAGTCGAATATGAGACTACCTGGTAGGCAATTTTTTTGACGTCGACAAACAGAAGGAAAAGAGGGAGCGGCGCAGCGTGATAGATAGATATAGGGAGAGAGCCTCGCTCCACTACTCACCACATCCATAAATGACAAAAAAAAAAAAAAAACCATGGTGGTGTATTTTCTAAGTGTTCTAGCGCAAGATATTCATGGGAAGGGGGAGAGAGAGGGGGGAAGAGGGAGAGAGAGGGGGAAAGGGGGAGATATGGGGGAAGGGGGAGAGGGGGGGGAAAGTGGAGAGCGAGGCCCATAGCCTTTACTTTACCTCGACGACTACCGTCTTCCCCCGAACACAAAGCACCCTTATTTTGGCTGTATCTGGCCGGAAATATAGCTTGTATACATTCATTCTTAGGGTGCGTTATGTTCGTGGGAAGACGGTAATTGGGAAACGAAAAATCGATTCCATGTATGCGACCTCCTCGACCACAGTGTCTGTCTGATAACGAGAACACGAACCGTTGCTCACGTCGACAAAAAAACAATCTGAAAATGAGAAAGACTCGTATGGGCACTGGGCTTGCACGATGTCCGCAACTTACGAAAAAAAAAAAACAAAAAAAAACGGTGTAACGAGACGGACACTACAAACAAACTGAAGACGAGAAGACTGACCGTTGCACAAGAAAAGGATTTCAATAAATCCTTCTCATTGTTCTCAAAGAAAAATAAAAATAAATAAATTAAAAAAAAGGCTTCCGACAGTTCGATCAAAACTTACTTGGCCCCCCCCCGCAAAGAAAAAAAAAACTTACTTCCCGTGCGAGCAGTTCATTTTCCGAATGAACCCTGGAATGATACATAATCCCCTGCCTCACTCTTCTCCGCGTCTCCCTCCGCTCCTCCCATAACCGAATATCTAATCTCCGCTACCAGCGCAGCTACAGTAAAGAAAAACAGCTTGCTCTGCTCTGCTACTACCGTCTTCCCCCGAACATAACCCACCCTGATTCTGAATGTATACAAGCGCTCTTTCCGGTCAGGTGCAGGCCATAACCGAATCTCTAAGCTCCTCTACGAGCACAGCTACAGTAAAGAAGATTGCTCTGCTCTGCTAATACGGTCCTCCCCCGAACATAACGCATCCTGGTTCTGAATGTATGCAGGCGATCTTTGTGGTCAGGTGCAGCCCATAACCGAATCTCTAATCTCCTCTACGAGCACAGCTACAGTAAAGAAACACAGAACGCTCTGCTCTGCTACTACCGTCTTCCCCCAAACATACCGCACCCAGATTCTGAATGTATACAGGCGATATTTCCGGTCAGGTGCACCCCTTAACCGAATCTCTCACCTCCTCTACGAGCACAGCTACAGTAAAGAAACACAGCTTGCTCTGCTCGGCTACTACCGTCTTCCCCCGAACACCCTGATTCTGAATGTATACAGGCGACCTTTCCTGTCAGGTGCACCCCATAACCGAAACTCTAATCTCCTCTACAAGCACAGCTACAGTAAAGAAACACAGCTTGCTCTGCTCGGCTACTACCGTCTTCTCCCGAACATAACGCACCCTGATTCTGAATGTATAAAGGCGAACCCTGATTCTGAATGTATAAATGCGAACTTTCCGGTCAGGTGCGGCCAGAATGAGGGTGCGTTGTGTTCGGGGGATGGCGGTAGTCTCAGCTCAGTACAACACAGCAACCTCGCTATGCTCCTCGGCATGCTCTACGTAAAACTTGCAGAATGACTGACAGCTTGCACGAAAGGCTTGAAAAACCTGAAGCGTTTCATAGAAATACGTAATAAATAAAGAATTCACTAGCGCTTCTCCACGTCATCGTCGTCGTCAACTTCCAAGCTGACGAGCAGCATGGAAGTCTATCATAAGCTCCGCCATCTCAGAGCACCTGTCGAATCCGGTTTGAATAAATCCCATCGTCGAGTCCAACGAGGCGAAGTGTCCTCCATTATGTGCATGCACAAAGAATGCGGACGGAGGACTCTCTAGCCTGTGCTATCATCACGTCAAATTCCACCTCAACCCAAAAGCATCTCTCTCTCTCTCTCTCTCTCTCTCTCTCTCTCTCTCTCTCTCTCTCTCTCTCTCTCTCTCTCTCTCTCTCTCTCTCTCTCTCTCTCACTTCCGAGATCAGATCTGTGGTGAAGAAGATTGACCTTAACCCAAGCGCAGAGACAGTTTTCTGGATCCAAGGATACATACAGTTAGCCGAAAATAGTTATATTCCCCTTCGCGACTAGAACTGAAAAAGTGCGTTTGACGACCAATCTCTAAGAAGCACGATGACGGAAGCGAAACCAAGGGTCGTTATGCTGCCGGTGGTAGTAAAACGGCGGCGGAGGTAGTTACTTTTTCGAATAAGTCAGTTTGTTTCTACGGCTCGCTCTGATGACACACACGGAAGCAAACGCGATTTGTTCGAGGAAAGAGGGCAAACCCGCAGCAACAAGTTCAACGAAGAGAGGACGACACTGTGCACACACGGACATGAGAAGACGGTGAAAAAAGTATTTCTACAGTTGCGCATGAGCGTGCAATCCTGGTGTGTTTTGAAAATCACTACGAAGACTCAAAGAGATCAAAAGCATTTCCGATGTACAATGGAAGGTCCCGCCTCGTCGTATTCCGCCTTGGAAATCCACATCTGCTGGAAAGTGCTGAGCGAGGCGAGAATGGATCCTCCTATCCAGACACTGTACTTGCGTTCCGGAGGAGCAACCACCTTGATCTTGATAGTACTAGGAGCCAATGAGGTAATCTCCTTGCTCATCCGATCGCCAATACCAGGGAACATAGTGGACCCGCCACTGAGGACGATATTCCCGTACAGGTCTTTCCTGATGTCCACGTCGCATTTCATGATGGAATTGTAGGTCGTCTCGTGAATGCCCGCCGACTCCATGCCAATCAAAGCAGGATTGAAGAGGACTTCGGGGCATCGGAATCGCTCGGTCCCAATGGTGATGATCTGGCCGTCAGGAAGCTCATAGCTTTTCTCGAGAGAAGAGCTATGAGAGCTGGTGGACTGCTCCTGCTCAAAATCCAAAGCCACGTACCCTAGCTTCTCCTTGATGTCCCGAACGATTTCACGCTCCGCACTCGTGGTGAAGGAGTACCCACGCTCCGTGAGAATCTTCATCATGTAATCGGTGAGATCCCGCCCAGCGAGGTCAAGACGAAGAATGGCGTGCGGCAGCGCGAAGCCCTCGTAGATGGGCACGGTGTGTGTGACTCCATCGCCGGAGTCGAGCACGATGCCGGTAGTGCGGCCGCTCGCGTAGAGGGACAAGACGGCCTGGATCGCGACGTAAGCTGCTGGAACGTTGAACGTCTCGAACATGATCTGGGTCATCTTCTCCCGGTTCGCTTTCGGATTGAGCGGCGCCTCCGTCAGCAGCACGGGGTGCTCCTCCGGCGCAACCCGCAGCTCGTTATAGAAGGTGTGATGCCAAATCTTCTCCATATCGTCCCAGTTCGTCACGATACCATGCTCAATCGGATACTTAAGGGTCAAAATACCCCTCTTAGACTGCGCCTCGTCGCCTACATAAGCTTCCTTCTGTCCCATCCCAACCATGACGCCTTGATGACGAGGGCGGCCAAGAATGCTCGGAAAGACGGCGCGAGGGGCGTCATCGCCAGCGAACCCCGCCTTCACCATACCCGAGCCATTATCGCAAACAACGGCAGAAACCTCCTCTTCCGTCATGGTTGAACAAACACAATCGACTAATTACCCAACCCACTTGGCGCGTGGAGTGCAAAACGACAACGAAAGGAGAAGAAGCTGTGGCGGGGAGTCCAAAAAACTACAAGAGCTACTGCTTTCTCCCTGACAGGTACACCGCAGCAAAGAGAATGGCGGCAGCCGCCTGCGACGTAGCTTCAGTTGAGTGAGAGTTCCTGCTACTCTACCTCTGTCATGGTTGATCAAAAATTTGACTGATTACCCAACCCACTTGGCGCGAGGAGCCCAAAACGACAACGAAATGAGAAGAAGTTGGCGGGGAATCCAAAAAACTAGAAGAGCTACTGCTTTCTCCCTGACAGGTACACCACCGCAGCAAAGAAGAATGGCGGCAGCCTACGTAGCTTGTAGCTTGAGTTGAGTGAGAGTTCCTGCTACTCTACCTCCGTCATGGGTGATCAAAATTGATTGATAACCCACTTGGCGCGAGGAGCGCAACACTACAACGAAATGAGACGAAACATATGGCGGGGAGTCGCAAAAACTACGAGCTCCAGCTTTCTCCCTTGACACAGAAGTGGACAGGTATACCGCAACAAAGAGAATGACGGCAACCCACGTAGCTTGTAGCTTGTAGCTTGTAGCTTGAGTTGAGTGAGAGTTCCTGCTACTCTACTTGGCCTGCTCGGCCTTTTGTACATTTGTGCGCTGCTCCGGTTGATTTGATCGTTCGCACGTTGGCAATCGTGGGTGTCAGTGTCTCTGGAACGGTCACGCGCTTTTGCCGATTCCACTCAACTTCGTGGCGGGGAGGGCAAGAAGAAGCGGGGTGCAATGAAAATTTGAATGTTCAAAAAGTTGAACGTAACTGGAAACGGGCGGGGTGAAAACGAAACGGAAACTAAAAAAAAGGGACACAAGAAAAGGCGGGGTGACCAGACTTGCTATAAAAAAATAAAAAAAATAAAAAATAGTTGCTTGCTGCCATAGGAGGTCAAGGCCACGTCCCCCACCTACACAAGTCCCACTGGCAGCGTTGAGTTTCCTCGAAGACTGAATCTGGACGTGTTTGTGGAGATGTGCAGAAATCGCGTTGAGTTTCCTCAACTGCACATAGCCGCAGAGACGTCCAGATTCAGGAGTTGACGAAACTCTATGCTGCCGGTGGGACTTGGCCCACAGTAGAACTACCAGCTCCACGTTGAACTACTTGAGCTTTCAACCTCGAGTGACGTTGTGTGACTGCCACGACGACAGGAGAGACAGCTGTGCATCCATCGGTGCTTTTTTAGGAAAGCATTTCAAATGTATTTCCCTCTACGAAAATGAACATTAAATTGGCAAATCTCGATTAGAAGGCCCCCTACCCTCCCCCTTTTCCGTGGAACTACGGACGTTGAGCCATCATTACCTCTCGGGGGAGGGGGGCGGTGAGGGCGGGGGGGCGTCTTTTCCTTTTTTTGTCGGAAGTAGGAGATTATTATTTTTGCGCAGGGGCCATGCTAATCTTCTCTGTATCGTTCCAATTTATTTATTTTTTTGTCTTGCGCAGGGGCCATGCTACTTTTTTATTTTCTTCACGGAACGTTCTTTTTTTTTTTT